ATGATTTGAACAAACTTCGATCTACACTACACAAGGATGCTTCAATATAAATATGAACAATCACAGCTTTGCTGCTCTTGGGAAGAAGATTTCTAAATCCTTCTTAAAAATTTTATCACCCATAATGGCCCCACCCTTGCTATAGGGGTCATAATTTGAACAAACTAGAATCTACACTACAAGAGGATGCTTCAATATAATATGACCAACAATGGCTTTCCTGTTCTTGAGAAGATTTTTAAAGATTTTCCTATACATGTGTATATTCCTCTGTAAAACTTTGACCATCCATTGTGGCCCATCCTACTCTCAGGGGTCATGAGTTGAACAAATTTGAATCTACACTACCTGAGGATGCTAATCATTAAAACCCCACCCTAACACCAGAACCCCTGAACAAGAGGCCATGAAATTCATAATTTTGGAAGAGGCACTCTTCTTCTGCCATGTGATGCCCACAATCAACTAGCTGATTATTATGGCATGTGTGTTCTTGCTGATAATAACTATATACTTAGTTAGTTTATTCAATACCAGGAGCAGAAGAGAAGATTTTCAAAGAATTAATGTATTTTCACTATATAATCATAGAGCCCCCCACCCTTTACACCAGAACCCATGACCCAGGGGCCACCAATTTCATAAATTTGAAAAAAGGCACTCTTGCTCATCATAACTATATACTTAGTACTTACTTTGTTTATTACCCAGAAGTAGAGAAGAAGATTTTCAGAGAAATAATGCATTTTCACTATATGATCTATATAACCCCATCCTAACACCAGAACCCCTGACCCTGGAGCCATGAATTTCATAATTTTGGTAGAGGGCTCACTACTGATTACAATCATGCCAACAGTTTGACTGCTTGCTGTCCAGGAATAAAGAAGAAGACTTTTAAAGATTGCATTAATTTTGGTGGTTTTAGCCCCATCCCTCAGGCCCCAGGGGGGGCAGGGACCGTTAAATTCAAAATGGTTGTTCCCATTTATCCATAGATACTATATGCCAAAATTGGTTGAAATTGTTGAGGGGTTTCCGAAAAGAAGTTGGAAACGTTAAAATGCTAAAAAGCAATGAAGGACGCACGATGAACGCCGATGGACAAAAACGGATAGCAATATGACTGAGTGACTCAGGTGTCCTAACAAGGATTCAATGAAGTAGAGGGAACATTGTCATATGGTCATCAATGCTAGTTCCACATACTTTTCCAGAGGGGAAGGGAGAGGGGGGGGGGACTCAAAACAGAGACATATAAGACAAAGATAACCAGAAGTCTCTGTCGAGACTGAAGCTCTACAGGTTTGTACTTATAGCAAAGGAAGAGAAAAGTTCTTAAGCAGTTGGGAATTGAAACTTTACCACAGCAATAAAAAGAATAATGATCCTTGATTAAGTCTCTTTATGTTTTTAATATAGTCTACTTGCATGCCACATTATATTACAATCAGACTTAAACTGCAGGAGGAGTAGCATTTTGAGAGTTTTTAACAGAAATTTCTATTTTTAGTTATCACGGTAACACCGTTCATTGAAATCAAAAACCGATACACAGAATTATGTATCTTAGTGTAGTCTACTTGTGTGCCAAGTTATATTGAAATCAGACCAAAACTGTAGGAGGAGTAGTATTTTGAAAGAATTTCACAGAAATTTCTATTTTTAGCAACAACGGCAACACCGTTCATCGAAATCAAAAACCGATATATAGAATTATGTATCTTAGTGTAGTCTACTTGTTTGCTAAGTTATATTGAAATCAGACCAAAAATGTAGGAGGAGTAGCATTTTGAAAGAATTTCACAGAAATTTCTATTTTTAGCAACAATGGCAACACCGTTCATCGAAATCAAAAACCGATACACAGAATTATGTATCTTAGTGTAGTCTACTTGTGTGCTAAGTTATATTGAAATCAGACCAAAACTGTAGGAGGAGTAGCATCTTGAAAGATTGTTTACAGACAGACAGACAGACAGACGGACAGACAGACGGACGGACGATGGACGCATTACTATCGCATAAGCTCTTCTGGTCTCTGACCAGTAGAGCTAAAAAAACAAATGGTTTTATATGTCTCTGCTCAAAAAGACATGTCTTGGAAATGTTTTGACCAACTAAGCAGAAAGGTGCTGTGAAATTATCATTGCTTGTGGAGGACCAATGTATGTGGGTACTTGGTGGGTTACCTTTAACAACTAGATTTACATCCCATCAAAAATTCATTTAATTTGTAAACATATCAATTTATTGCATCTACCATATAAATGGGTATATAAACCTACAAAATTATGTCCTTTTTACAAAAGTTTTCTTTAAATCTCATAGGAGGTAATTAAGAACTGAAAAACTTACATTCAATGGCATACTTTGGGAAACACCAAGCTGAAAAAAAGCATAAAATGTTTAAATATATTTAGTACTTCAGTAGGGTTCTCTATCATTTCCGATTTAACTGTGGCGCAAAATTAAAGCAAAGTGCTAATATTCGCGGTCATTTCGTAACTGAATTCGCAAAGGAGCCACGAAATGAGTTAAAATGCAGACCCTGTGATTCAGTAGTTTTAAACAAAAATGACATTTATTACATGTATAAGGCAAATATTCATTTAAAACATAGGTAATCAGAGATTACAGAGCTCACCTCAACGAATGTTGTCTTTAAGTAAGGCAAAGTCACACAATTAACCAACAAAAAGTGTACATTCCAGAAATGAAAATATTTAAGCAATTTTGATCGAATACATTGAAATAGACCTACATAAAAAATTTAAACTAGTTGTTCATGAAAATGTAATTAAAATTAAGCATCTGAAGCAAATTTGAGAGTTTTCATCTCCTGATGCAACATTTGTGCAAGTTTGGTTTGGTTTATACAATGTTATATAAGCCTTCAAGTTTTTTGGTAATTGACCTGCACCCATAACTTTTACCTGGTTTATTATCTGAAAAAATGTATGTCGAATTCAGCATCCAAAGTAAGTCCATTAGTGTGCATCCTAAGATGTATCGTCCATGCAAGTTTGCTCATTATAGGGCTCATAGTTAATTGGAAATGATACATTCATCACAAACTAACATTTTCACTCATCCACAAAATGTAGGTCAGATTCAGCATCCGAAGCAAGCCTGGTAGTATGCACCCTTAGATGTATCATCCATGCAAGTTTGGTCAACATAGGGCTTATAGTTACTTGGAAATGAAACCTGCACCAAAAACTTTAACCTGTTTTCTCAACCAGAAAATGTAGGTCAGATTCAGCATCTGAAGCAAGCCCGGTAGTATGCATCCTTAGATGTATCATCCATGCAAGTTTGGTCATTAAAGAAGTCATAGTTACTTGGAAATGAATTATGCATCAAAAACTTTAACCTGTTCACTCAACCGGAAAATGTACATTGTAGATCAGATTCAGCATTTGAAGCAAGCCTGATAGTATGCATCCTTAGATGTATCATTGATGCCAGTTTGGTCAACATAGGGCTTATAGTTACTTGGAAATGAAACCTGCACCAAAAACTTTAACCTTATCACTCAACCGGAAAATGTAGGTCAGATTCAGCATCCGAAGCAAGCCTGATAGTATGCATCCTTAGACGTATCATCCATGCAAGTTTGGTCAACATAGGGCTTATAGTTACTTGGAAATAAAACCTGCCCAAAAAAATTAAACCTGTTCACTCAACCGGAAAATGTAGGTCAGATTCAGCATCTGAAGCAAGCCTGATAGTATGCATCCTTAGATGTATCATCCATGCAAGTTTGGTCAACATAGGGCTTATAGTTACTTGGAAATGAAACCAGCACCAAAAACTTTAACCTGTTCACTCAACCGGAAAATGTAGGTCAGATTCAGCATCCGAAGCAAGCCCGGTAGTATGCATCCTTAGATGTATCATCCATGCAAGTTTGGTCAACATAGGGCTTATAGTTACTTGGAAATGAAACCTGCACAAAAAAATTTAACCTGTTCACTCAACCGGAAAATGTAGGTCAGATTCAGCATCCGAAGCAAGCCTGATAGTATGCATCCTTAGATGTACATGTATCATCCATGCAAGTTTGGTCAACATAGGGCTTATAGTTACTTGGAAATGAAACCTGCACCAAAAACTTTAACCTGTTCACTCATCCGGAAAATGTAGGTCAGATTCAGCATCCGAAGCAAGCCCAGTAGTATGCATCCTTAGATGTATCAACCATGCAAGTTTGGTCAACATAGGGCTTATAGTTACTTGGAAATGAAACCTGCACCAAAAACTGCACCAAAAATGTTAACCTGCTCCAAAAACATTAACCTGGCCATTCCTTTGCTGAAATTGCAGCATCTGAAACTTTGACTGGTACAATGAAACACATTAGAAGCATCTTCCATGCATGTCTAATCAATATAGGACATAGAAGTACTTAAAAAGAAAACTGCTCCAAAAAACTTAACCTGGGACGCCAACGCCGACACCGACGCCGAGGGTATTACATAAGCTCCCCCAACTTCGTTGAGGTGAGCTAAAAATAACTGAAAAATAAATAAATTGATATAGAATAAGTTACTGCAAAACAAAAATTAGTATGTTTCCAAATACATTTACATATGTTTATTGTGAAAAAGAGACATACCCTACCAAACAAATAGGTACTTATGATGAAACAAATAAACAGTACCAGTAGTATCACGTTTTAAGCTTTTAACTCTTCCGTGTTTATTGAAGGACAAAGGAAATTCTGGTAGATCACACAACACGCTAAAATTCCATAGATTTGCAATTAATTGTCTGAAGGCAAAAGTATCTTTAAATTCGTAGTTTAAAAAAACTTTTTACATGCAGTTTAAAGAAATAATGTTTTCGTGGATCTATTGCTAATTTTTCAACATTACAAATTACAGATACAATACACGTACGATGTTTTTACCCGCAGTGTCAATGCAATTTTAGAGACGCGGTTATCTTAAGCATTTTTAGAACTACTTTATTAATAGATCAAAGCATAAATTAATTGACATTTAAAAATTTCACTATCGTGATAGTGTGAAAAAATGGCTTGTCTCTTTTCATTCATGTGTCCAGTAAGGTCTAGAGAAGATATTTGATTGTGCAAACCAAACAATGGGCCCTATATAATTAGAGTAAATTAGCAATGTTATCATTAGAAACTGAAAAACGGTACAATAATTTAGAGGTTTATTTTATAAATTTTATAAATTTGTATATTTTTATATCATGTTGACAACAAAAATCTTACTGTGGTGCTAATATTTTAACTGTGGCAGAAATGTGGCGCTGATTTTTTAACTGTGGCACTACAAAATTTAACTGTGGCGGGGCCACCACGTTAAACGGCCCATGGAGAAACCTGCTTCAGAAACAAATCTGAGAAAAAACTAGAACTGTCCAAACGGGACAAACCCCCCCCCACTGGAGAGTTAAATCATGAATATTTTATGGATCTAAGAAAAGAGAGAAATGCTAAAACATTTTCAGTGCAAATGTAATTGTTAATTATATCTTTTTATAAATGAAACGAAGGTGCAGCCTAATAAAAAAAATTAGACTAAATATACGGACCAGACACGAATTATGAACTTTTTCTGTCAGTGACCTTGAACTAGCATAAATGACCTTGGTTCAAAGTTATGACACAACCTTAGGTCATAAGCAATGTTTCTGTGTAGTAGTAGATTCAAGTTTTTCAATAATAAAGAAAGATATGGACCGGATACAAATTATAAAATTTTTCTTCCATAGACCTTGAACTTCCCCAAATGACCTTGACCCATGTTCATGAATCATCCTTAGGTAGTGAGCAATCTTTTTGTGAAATGAGAACTTACCAAGTTTATCCATAAGAAAGATATGGACCGGACACGAATTATGAAATTTTTCTTCCAGTGACCTTGAACTTCTCCAAATGACCTTGGGTCAAGGTCATGAGACACTCTTAGGTTATGAGCAATCTTGATGTGAAATTAGAACCTACCAAGTTTATCCATAAGAAAGATATGGACAGGACAAAAATTATGAATTTTTTCTTCCAGTGACCTTGAACTTCTCCAAATGACCTTGGTTCAAGGTCATGACACACCCTTAGGTTATGAGCAATCTTTTGTGAAATTAGAACCTACCAATTTTATCCAATGAATTTTTTCTTCAAGTGACCTTGAACTTCCCCAAATGACCTTGGGTCAAGGTCATGACACACCCTTAGGTCATGGGCAATCTTTGGTTGGAGTAGTAGATTCTAATGTTCCTCCGTAAGAAAGATAGGACCGGACACGTTTGCACAGAGAGATGGACAGACAGACAGCTCGACAGACGGATGGACGGACGGACAGACGGACAAGGTGATTCCTATATAAAAAAAATGTATTTGGACAGTTATAGATATTCCCTTAATTACTTCCGAATTCCTTAAGGCACACAATTTTTTTTTATTCAAAAGAAAGGCAACATTAGATTGTAGATATTAAACTCCAACAAGAGGCCCATGGGCCACATCGCTCACCTGAGCACTAAGGGTAGGAAAAAGTAGAAAATGGCTTTTTATTGTAAAGTTTAAATCCAAAAGTAGTCCCATGACTAATCATGGATTTGCTATTTTTTAGAAAATGATTTTTAAAGAATTTTCCTATGTATATCTTTAAAAACTTTGGTCGGCCATTTTGGCCCCGCCCTACCCCTGGGGGTCATGATTTGAACAATTTAAATCTACACTACTTGAGCATGCTTCCATATAAATATGATGAATTATGGCTTTGTCATTCTTGAAAAGAAGATTTTTAAAGAATTTTCCTATATATTTCTATGTAAAACTTTGGTCGGCCATTTTGGCCCCGCCCTACCCTGGGTGGTCATGATTTGAACAAACTTGAATCTACACTACCTGAACATGCTTCCATATAAATATGATGAATTATGGCTTTGTCATTCTTGAGAAGAAGATTTTTAAAGAATTTTCCTATAAATTTCTATGTAAAACTTTGGTCGGCCATTTTAGCCCCGCCCTACCCCCGGGTGGTCATGATTTGAACAAACTTGAATCTACACTACCTGAGCATGCTTCCATATAAATATGATGAATTATGGCTTTGTCATTCTTGAGAAGAAGATTTTTAAAGAATTTTCCTATATATTTCTATGTTAAACTTTGGTCGGCCATTTTGGCCCCGCCCTACCCCCGGGGGTCATGATTTGAACAAACTTGAATCTACACTACCTGAGCATGCTTCCATATAAATATGATGAATTATGGCTTTGTCATTCTTGAGAAGAAGATTTTTAAAGAATTTTCCTATATATTTCTATGTAAAACTTAGGACGGCCATTTTGGCCCCGCCCTACCCCCGGGGGTAACGATTTGAACAAACTTGAATCTACACTACCTGAGGATGTTTCCCCATAAGTTTCATCTTTCCTGGCACAGTGGTTCTTGAGAAGAAGATTTTTAAAATACGCCACCAAATTTTCATTAATTCCCAATTATCTCCCCTTGAATGAGGGCATGGCCCTTCATTTGAACAAACTTGAATCTCCTTCACCCAAGGATACTTTGTGGCAAGTTTGGTTGAAATTGGCCCTGCAGTTCTTGAGAAGAAGTCGAAAATGTGAAAAGTTTACAGACAGACGGACAGATGGACAGCTAGACAGACAGACGGACAGCTAGACGGACGGACAGATGGACAGACAGATGGACGAAGGACAAAATGTGATCAGAAAAGCTCACTTGAGCTTTCAGCTCAGGTGAGCTAAAAAGCACAATCAAGCAAGGATCTCTTCTCCCAGTGTATAAAGCCATTTGCAATTTTATGTGCACTGAAGGCCACTGTCCATGTCTTTGTAAATTCAAATAAACAAGATGTGTTAAAGTCCTTGCTCAGCTCCAGGGAATCTCATCAAAATAAGTGTATGATGTAGAAGAAGCAGGCATTGAAAAACAATGACATCGGACGTCATAAAACTAAACGGTGACAGCGCCAGGTGATCAATCATATAATGCTGTTTTTATTTTATAATACATGTAATTTGGCAAATAATGAAGGTGTCGAGCTAAAATTTTCAACATATTTTTATGTTTTATTGTTTTATGTTCCATAAAAATTTTGAAATTACAGACTACATAGTTCTAATTTTATAGCCTCAGTCCACGAACTTTTTGATAACCCCTCGTATTTAGTCAATAAACTTTCAGGATGTCTAGTTTTTGCCTAGCTATCAATGTCAACTTTTCCACTGGTTAAAAAAATACTACTTTTGCATTGGATTAAGGAATTTTGTCAAAGAATTCAAATGTAATATTGCTTACCTTTACACCAAGTAAAGTCTTTCCTTATTCTCAGATAACACACAACAATGAGATATATCAAGGCAAGAATGGGGAAGATAACCCACCATGGGCTACATGAAAATGATAAATAAAAACATACTAAACATGTATATTTAATCTTTCTCAAAAATATTAATGAATTGATCTCATTTCTCAATTTGTTTTCATGAGGCATTCTCACTCCTAAACTTTTCTTGCTCGTCAGTTATATATAACTGTGAACCAACTTTTATTCGTGACAACTTTATTTCGCGATTTACCATGGATAAAGTAGTTCTCGGTGATTAATTTTCGTGATCAAGCCTTTTTTTTTTTTTTAGATCTGTTGGTTAATAGACACAGGGACTTTAAGGACACAGCAAGAAATATTTGCTATGAACAGGCTGAGAACTGCTTTACCCATTAGGTTAGTGAAATTTTACTGCACACGAATAAAAGTTGGTTTACAGTATATATTAAAATATAATTATACAGTATTTTACTATCTGGCCATGTCATATTATTCCATCTTCTGAATCAATAGATATTACATAAAGGATTTCTGAGAATCTGTCAACAAAACAGAGGGTTGTATGATGAAAAATTAATTTTAAAAGTCCAGGCTCCCTTTAAAAAATGTAGAAAAATCACTCGACAAATATCAGAAAAAGTGATCTCCATGTTTCTGCCAAACTAATGAAACTATGCACCAGATAGCATTGAATTATAGAATCAGGCATGTCTCAAAGGCACTTGATGTTTTTAACCTTTCTTTTCATAAATAAAAAATTCCCCATACTACAATAATAACCATTGTTATTATCTGGTATGGGGAATTTTTATTTATTTATGTAAAAAAAGGTGTCTGTGGGCATACTTGTTATTCTTGTCCTCCTCTTCATTCTGATTGGCTGTTTTGTCCTGTGGTATAGTCAGAGGCTGAACTGTGATTATAGTACTCTTGTGAGTAGTGACAGAGGGAGACATAGGTGTTGATGCTGACTTGGTGGTGGTGGACCATTGTGAAATGTTATAACACCCTTGATCTGAAATGTTTGTTGATTTTTCAATAATTTCAAAATGAAATGAAAATTGCAATATAAATACTATTATTAGAGTAAAACATACTTCAAATGAAGAGCTAGGAATGAACAATTTTGCTTCATTATAAGACTAATTTGTTAAATCTGTAAATTAAATGGTCCATATATTTTCATGTCCAGGGGAATAAAAATCACTTCCCTGCATCAATTCATTATAAGCGTGTGTTGATATAAGTGTTTTAATTACTATATATAACATTATACCAATGATAAAACTCACATTTGTAAGCATCTGCTGAGCTATAAAATGAGGAGCAATTAATTGGTTTATCTTTGGTGCAGTCTCTATTGTAGTCATTCCTAACAAATGGGTACTTTTCATAAAAAAGTGGGCAATACCCTACAAAAAGAATATCTAGTTTTAGTTACTTGATTTTGTTCACAATATGGCATACATATATATAGTTGAATGACTAATGTCTTGATAAATGTGATAGGTTAACAAGTACGGTACTACATCAATCAATATACATGTACACTATAATAAGTGATGATATATTGCATGCATTTCTATAGCTGCAGATCTGTAGCTCTCCGAAAAAAAAATTATTGATAGACCGGAGAGCTACAGTGCCACCCATTGACAAAACTGTATATTTATTGCGCACAAAAAAGTGCGCTCGATTTTTTATTAATTCTTCCAAATTCTTACCTCAATTGCAAAAATGGAAGATTTCACAAAATTCTTCTCTCCTTTATCAAGTTCTCTCGTAGTTGACGTCTGAACGACAGCATATTGGACCGAATTATCTTTGAAACCAAAATGGCAGTATAAACAAGCGAAATGTTCGATGATTGCAATATCAGGGCTAGGAGGACTATTAACAACAATTATGAGGAATGTTTTGTTGTGGAAAGAGTCAAAGAATATGTTAGGAACACACGGTTAGTAATATTTTGAGGTTACAATTTTAAAAACATGGAGAAAAAAATCGAGAACCGAGCGCACTTTTTTGTGCGCAATAAATATACAGTTTTTTCAATGGGTGGCTCTGTAGCTCTCCGGTCTATCAATATATAATTTTCGGAGAGCTACAGATCTGCAGCTAGCATTTCTACTAAAAGGATCTTGTTTAAATAGATCAAATTTGTCTATTTATTTTCCATAAAAGGGTTAAAATTCCAAATTACAAAATGTTCTAGCATTTTTAACAAAATTTTCAGTGCCTCCCCCCCTTCAATACTGAAGATTACATATAAATGTCCTAATTTTTAGTAAAATATTAATATAACATGATTTAATATGTAAAAAGTAGCATTGCGTAATACTATAAAAAAATTTATACCAAGCTTGACCCATGCAGGAATAAATAAAATTAGGTCACAATATATGTACATTCAAAATTTCTCAACGTCACAATAAGTAAAAAATATGACATCAAGGATCATGTAAAAAAAAAATCTGAATACTTCTAGTTTAAAACACCAGTGATTGAATTGACTTGTGTTTATGAATTCATTTTCATGTTCCCATCAAGGGTGTAAGGGGATTACTAAGGGTTGTATTCCATACACCTTTTGCATATTTTATCTTCATCGGTCTCAGGGTGTTTGGAATACAACCCGTGGTAAATCCTTGTACACCCTTGATTGAACCTGGATAATCTAAAGCAATGTAGAGGATTTTTATACGCAAAATAACAAATACTATAAAATGAAAAAATTAAAATTATAATTTATAATAAACATAGGTAATCAGAGATTACAGAGCTCACCTCAACGAATGTTGTCTTTAAGTAAGGCAAAGTCACACAATTAACCAACAAAAAGTATACATTCCAAAAATGAAAAATTTAAGCAATTTTGATCTGATACTTTGAAAAAGACCTACATAAAAAATTTAAACTAGTTCTTCTTCATGAAAATATAATGAAAATCCAGCATCTGAAGCAAATTTGAGAGTTTTCATCTCTTGATGCAGCATTTGTGCAAGTTTGGTTTATACAATGTTATATAAGCCTTATAGTTTTTTGGAAATAGACCTGCAACGGTTACCATAACTTTTACCTTGTCTATTATCTGAAAAATGTATGTCGAATTCAGCATCCGAAGCAAGTCCATTAGTGTGCATCCTTAGATGTATCATCCATGCAAGTTTGCTCATTATAGGGCTCATAGTTTATTGGAAATGAAACATGCATCAAAAACTAACATTTTCACTCATCCACAAAAAGTAGGTCAGATTCAGCATCCGAAGCAAGCCTGGTAGTATGCATCCTTAGATGTATCATCTATGCAAGATTGGTCATTAAAGAACTCATACTTCCTTGGAAATGAAACCTGCACCAAAAACTTTTACCTGTTCACTCAACCGGAAAATGCAGGTCAGATTCAGCATCCGAAGCAAGCCTGGTAGTGTGCATCCTTAGATGTATCATCCATGCAAGTTTGGTCAACATAGGGCTTATAGTTACTTGGAAATGAAACCTGCACCAAAAACTTTAACCTGTTCACTCAACCGGAAAATGTAGGTCAGATTCAGCATCCGAAGCAAGCCCGGTAGTATGCATCCTTAGATGTATCATCCATGCAAGTTTGGTCAACATAGGGCTTATAGTTACTTGGAAATGAAACCTGCACCAAAAACTTTAACCTGTTCACTCAACCGGAAAATGTAGGTCAGATTCAGCATCCGAAGCAAGCCCGGTAGTATGCATCCTTAGATGTATCATCCATGCAAGTTTGGTCAACATAGGGCTTATTGTTACTTGGAAATGAAACCTACACCAAAAACTGCACCAAAAATGTTAACCTGCTCCAAAAACATTAACCTGGTCATTCCTTTGCTGAAATTGCAGCATCTGAAACTCTGTCTGGTACAATGAAACACACTAGAACCATGTTCCATGCATGTCTAATCAATATAGGACTCAGAAGTAATTAAAAAGAAAACTGCTCCAAAAAACTTAACCATAACCTGGGACGCCGACACCGACGCCAAGGGTATCACATAAGCTCCCCCCAACTTCGTTGAGGTGAGCTAAAAATACTTTAGTATAGATTTTTAAAAAAGACAATAACAAAGTGCAATTTACATTACCATTCAAATTCCTTGGCACAGTGCATACTTCCACCAATGTTTTTCTAGAAGCATCAACTAAGCAATGATATCTAGCGTTTTCACAGTTTGGTGTCATGTTTACTTTTACATTACAGTCCAATCTCCTTGATCCAGCCTCCCATTCTTGTTTGTTTCTTGGACAAGTGGTAACATTCTTCACTGTGTTTAATGTCTCCGAACATTCATCACCCAAACAAACCTATAAGATGCAAATTGCAACAAGATTTTTAAATCATGAATTGTATACATATTTCATACATTGTATTATAGATTACTGTAGACATACTTTTTTCCACAGGGGCATAATTTTGTAGGATCAGAATCCACGGGTAAAAAATTACACGGATTCTTGACATGTCAAAAAAAAATTTATATTATTGCATTCAAAAATTAATTAATTACTTTAGTTTTGATTAAATGCAACTATATTCTGAGAATATTTGGTGTTTTCAAAGATCAACTTTGAGAGCACAATTATCATATGACTCAAAACAACATACATATGTAGAATGTTCAAATTTAATTCCTGCTAACTCGGATCTTACGAGAAAAAGACATTTAAAAATTGTATAAAGAATATTTTGTCTGAGTGTTAAACTCATCAGAAAAATACAGTTCATAAATTTATACGTTCATCTACAATTATCAACACTGAAGCCTATTGGTGTCGTGGGTTGGTGGATCAATGCATATTCGTCCGTTCAAACAAAAACATTTAACCCTTAATTTGTTCAAGTCTTAGGGAAATCGAGGAAATCAAGGATTCTTTGACTTTTTTACAATCATTTTTGCTTCTTTTTTGATGCTCTTCTAACAGGCTCCTTGCCACTGGACACATAATGGCTACAAATAGAACCTTTATTGATTGTTTATTTCATCGTCTACCAGTTGGGGCCAGTGATGTAAATGCTGGTCAAAATATACGATTAAAAAAAATCATTTTTTTTTTGTAAACTCTTTCAATACATCTTCATTGTTTTTAATATGTGTTAGGTGAATGTGTTGAAATTTAAAATGTTCTAAAATATAATTGAGACCTAAAATAATAATTCCTATCATAAAACAGACATGGGGTATTCAGGAGTGGGTTGAATTTTTTTTTCAGTTGAGTGTAAAATAATTTTTCTGGCTGCCACATTCAAAACGATACTACATGCCTGGCTGTATATATTTGTATATACTTGTTTTTTAATAGTTGAAATATTTCATTTCTTGATTTTAGCATTGTTTAGGCTATTCTTTCCTTCCTCAAATGGACTTCTCCCATAATAGTTTTATTCATTACATGATCATCTGATGCAAAAGCGACCCTTTTCTAAATAGTTATGCTTGGACTGTAAGCTATAACAGACTTATACATTTTCTCTGGCAATAGCTACCACGGGCAGTTTTAAACCTTTGAGAGGAAAATAATTTACAGAGAGATACTTTTGAATACAAATGCGTAATTATCTCACCAACATGTCATTGTTCAACAAAGTCATCAGAATTTTTTGTCCTATGAACAGATGAAATGTTAACGTTTTGAATGGCACTCCTATGCATAAATTCTTACACTGAACCTAGCAATGGTGCTGCTATGGACTTTGCAGATCTACCCCTTTCAAGGTATCACACTGGTAATTGACCAATCAAAATGAACTTAGGATCAAATGTAGGTCCATACATATAAAATTGATTTTCTTTTTTTTTTTGAGATGTTTTTCTATTTTCTTCCAAGCCATTTTTACAACTTTGTTATCTGTGCCTAGTAAATTTTATGTACTTTGTGAATAAATAAAGGTTTTTGACAGGAACTATTTTTTTCTTGGCATAGGAGGCTACTTCCTGTGGTGCACTCGAGGTGTTTAGAAACACAAGTGAAAATACATGGATTTGAGGGTAGCCCTGTTTGCAGATGGAAAAAGTCCGGAAATGCCGTGTAGGTACCATGTTTTTTGGTGTCAACAAATGTGACAGGTAATGTTTAACGCCTCCTGCTAAATATTTTTTATGTAAACAAATACCTGATTTTTATTCTATATAGTATATTATATAGTGAAAACAATTACCGGTGTGATCGATACCCTTATTTACCGCCGTGTTCATTTTAAAACCGGAAGTTCGAGTTGGTAAATTTGAAATCTCGATCCTGACTCAAATTTGACATCGGAAAGAAAAAAATCTGTTTTTCTCAATTTTATTTTTTTCTGAAAATTCAAAATCTAGAGTGGCCGGGTTTGTAAACCTAAAATAAAAAAATGCTGGCCTAATGACGACGCTGATCTCCATTTCTATGTAGAAAGACTATGCACTTGGCATAACTTTTTTTTATTGTGGGTTAAAACTATTATAACCAATTCTCATCTCTCTCAACTTGCCTCATTAACGAAGATTCTTTCAGTTTACTCTTGATACGATATCTTAATGAAGGAAAAGTTTTCTGTGTCTCTGATGCTATGGTACAGTGTACATTGACCTATTGTATAATCTTCCTTGTCAAAAAACATGAAAAAGAATGATTCCCCCTGTTTATTTAAATAAATGCGGGAACTAATGTAGTTTTTTCTCTTTTCAAAAATTCAAACTTCGATTACAAGCTCAAAATTGAAATAAAGGTCAAAACATATATATGATAAACAAAATACTCTAAAATCAATCATTTTGCTGAAAATCAAAATCTGCATTGATTTGAAAATCAGGGAGTAAATATGAGTGTGACTAAAATGGGTAGCGAAACCCGGGCCGAGCCGGGTGTAATGATATGAAACTGTTTTCCTTTCTAGTTTCTCAAGAATAAACGTCACATTCATTTCCCATCATTTATTTCCATCAACATTGGTATTGGAAAAGAGAACAAGGGAAAAGTGGGAAAAGATTGACTGCATTAAACAAAATAAACAGAACCTACAATACTGTACGTTATATAAATGTGACTGAAATGACAAATGACAATATTCAACTGACTGATAATACTGAGTACAAAAATTACAAATACTTTGTCATAATCTAGTAATTATGTTCCCCAAACGAAGTTTGGGAACATATTGTTTTTACTTTTTCTGAATTTTTTCTTTGTTCTCCGGTACTTTTTTGTCCGCGAGTGTTCTCGTAAACTACTCATCCGATCTAGGTGAAACCTTTTTAGGGTCACTAGGTATGTTATGTAGATGTGCGGAACGAAGGTCATTTTGCGCGCACGTGCGTGCATGTGCGCGCACGTGTAACACGTGAAATGACCAATATAATAGATTTAGCCGTAACTTTTTAAATATTAGATGAAATGCTTTGAAACTCATAATATAAGGATATAATAGTAGTATAGACATGATGACATGGTCAAAATAGCAAGATCTCACGCGCATGCAGGTGCCCTTCGCTGCGATTGGCTGAAACTAAAAGTCTAAATATCTATTTTGTTTTCTGACAAAATCCTTTGAAATTTTGAACATAGTCTTACATAATAAAGATCTACAGCATGATATATAAGAATAATCATGAACGCACGCACATGCACGTGTACTGCAATCTGATTGGCTAAAACTTTAAATGCCTACAACTTTCTTGGTTCTCAATAATACAGGGTGAAATTTCAAACATGAATAGATATAATGATTGCCTACATTATACTACTATCAAAAGTAAATGCATGGACGTGCATGCACATGCGACCGCACACAGTGTATTAAAAGACAGTATACTTGAGTGTTTGATGTTCATGCAGAATTAAGAACTTCTAAATGTCAAGACATATAACATACTGAAGCATGCAGATCTTTTTACCCTTGACCTTGAAACTTAGGTCAAGGTCACTGGTAACCTGAATAAAATGTTGATATTAACTATTTACCAAAATCACCTTGACCTATAAACTTGAAATCGACCTTAACCTTTGTCCTTGACCCAAGTGTAAAAAGAAACATGAAGTACGTGTACATGTATCTAGAAACACCTTTCAGAGTTTATTTCGGTTGACAGGTTAGAAGTTAAAGAGGTGGTGGTTTTTAATGACCTTGACCTTTCATCCAAATGTCACAATCAATCTTAAGTTCTTGGAATAAGATACAAGATTCAACTCCAACGTTAAATAGGTTAAGAATAAAAATAACCCCCAACCCAACCCAACCCAACCCAACCCCCCCCCCCCCCCCAACCCCCAACCCCCCCCCCACACACACACACACAAACAAATCAAATTAATGACAACGTAGAGAATCACTGTTAAACTCAAATAACACCTCGGACCCACATAAAATTTCAGGAAAACTGTAGAAAAGAGCTCGAGGAAAGTGTATTAAAATATTTCATTTGAGTTTCCAAAGTATATAGAAATTATTAATTTATACAGAAAAAATTACAAATCCTGTCGTGTTTAAAATTAAAGTGCAGATGACCAAAGTTGGCATATTAGCCTTTTATAGCCTATTTATTCAGATGTCGTTAAAAGCATTCAATTCTACTGATTTGAAATAATATCTTAATACCAAGAATCCTTTGTTTAATTTACCTTTGAAATTTATTTGAATTTTTTTTAGAATTACACAATCCCCAGAAATAGCGATTTTCGGTATATTAAAAATCAATATACATGTACGCTCCTTCGTAAAATAATCAGATATTTGCATTCATGAAAAAATATTAATTAAATACGAAGGTGTTAAACAATATTGGTCACATTAGCTGACACGAATGTCTTTTTAAACATCTCTTGTAAAACCCCTATGCATTGGAAAAAATGAATAGTTCCGGTCAAAAAACCTTTATATATTTATTTACAAAGTATATAAAATTTACCAGGCACAGGTATCAGAGTTGTCAAAATGGCCTGAGAGGAAATATTAAAAAAATTCTGAACAGAAAGGAAAATCCCTTTTCCATGTATGGAACTACTATTGAATAAGTTCATTTTGATTGGTTAGGTATTGGCGTGATACCCTTAGTCGACTTTAACACGCCTTGTCGTCGGAATGAAACCAACTTTGAGCCCGAGGTTGAGAAATAAAATGTGAATCGATAGATTAAAAAAATGACATATGCTTGAAAAATGGTAAATTTATATACTAGTATGTATTTTTTTCTTTGATTCGCGGGATAGAAAGATATGTTAATCGCTTAATCAACATGCCATAATCATCTTGCATATGCATGTACATATACGTGTGCGCGCATGCAAAACGTTAAACAATATATAGTTGATAGTTGATATCATTGTAACTTTTATATTCTTAAAAAAAATCCTGGGATACTTAGCATATTTATAAAAGGTCTTAGAAGAATAAGACACGATAAGGGACATGGGGAGCGTTTGGGGAACATCTGTAACGGTCCCCGTTACCATAGCACTAGTTCATGATAGTATTAAATGGTATAAGTGAATAAAACTTTATAAATGACGTTAACTTATAAACTGTGAGAATGCACATTTACATCAGATGCTCGAACTAAAGATTACCCTTGTTTACTCCAAACTACAGTATACAAAAAGATATCAAGTTAACACTGCATTCAGATAATCATAAAAAAGGTAATTACTGTGATTATTTTCCAACTTGTCGAAAAATATTAGGATTAACAGCTCAAAATCAAAACAGATTCTGGTAAACATCTAAAAATCATGCAAACATGGCGGGTTTTCACGTCAGAATTGAAAATTCCTATTCTGATAAAATTGGAAAAATAAATGAAGCCGGATAAATTTGGATAATTACACAGAATCAATCTTACACCGGGAATTTCAAAACTGAGAGCCGGGTTTTTGATAATAACGAGATAAATACTCATTCTTTCTTCATGAAATTTACAGACATAGTTTAAAACTATAGGTTTTGCCTTCGCTGTGAATTTTAAGTCAAAATGTTGTGTTTTCCGATGATTATCGCCGATTGTCCTTTTCCAGGTGACTAAAATGGGTAGCGAGCCCGGTTTACTCATTTTGGCAATTTTAAGCGTAATGCATCGAAAGTGTTTGTAATATTTGCATTTAATGGTTGTTTATCAACTTCAAATAGCTAAATTGTTCAATCATTATGAAATTAAATGTCGATTATTAGGATTTTTGTCATTTTCCATAGACCCGGGACAGGTCAAAACTGGCTGCGTTTGCCCGGGACAAATTAATAATTCCAGATTGTCAGAGAAAGAATGTAGATTTTTTTCAGTCCCTGACCGAGATACATCTAAGAAATAAATTGTAAAAAATTAATAAAAATATGCAAATAAAAAAAAGTCATTTATATTTCATTTATATGTCATTCTCTCATAATTATTTCGGAAATAAAAGTTTTTTCACGGGTGAACGTGTCCGGTTTCGACCAATCCCGGGTGTTCAAAAAATGCGTATATTTTCAATAATCGTGATTTATTACTGCAACAGTTAAAGTCATATATGCTATATGAACGCCGAATTTTGTGTGAAACAAAATGATTAATGATTTAAAACACATGAAGTGTAATGGAAAATAATACTTTCCACAAAATTGTACTATAGATGTCGTTGTAATAATAAAACAATTAAAATATCTAGGAATTAAGAATTCAGTCTTTTCATGAATATTGATGAAGGAAGTGCGTAAACTGTAGTCCTATATATAGAAACACACATGTTCACGGGAAGTCACAGACAACGAGGTATGTTGCATTTTGACAACAATTATTAATATTAAGGTCAATATGCGTCATAACAGAGAAGATTGTTGATACTGAATACATTAAAAAGTAAGTACCATTAAGAGTAAGACGCTTGCCATCCACGTCAAAAGTGAGTACTATCTCAAACGGCCTACCTTGTTTTCTTTGCGCCACGTGTGTTTATCAATCTAAAAGTAGCGACGGTGTCACGTGATGGAGTTATTTAAAAATAGCTATTTTTCTTTCCTTGCAGGATAATAAATAATTATAATTTGATAACTTTGTAACGCGTTTAATTTTAATGGTGTAATTTACAGTATTTTCGTAACTTTTATTGATAAACAAATGATATCAATTTCCAATCATATTTTAACTGGCGCAAGTTATAGCGTGTATACTTTTAAATGTTTTAGGTAGTTTATGTTCAATTTTAAAGATCCAAATGAAATAATTGTAAATATGCTGCCGATATTGAGTTTAAATCACCAAAATGAGTAATTCGGGTTCGCTACCCATTTTAGTCACTTGGAAAACGACAATCGGTGATAATCATTGAAAAACACAACATTTTGACTTAAAACTTTCAGCAAAGGCCAATCCTAGAATAATAAACTATGTTCGTAAATTTCATAAAGAAAGAATGAGTATTTATTTCGTGATTATCAAAAACCTGGTTTTCGTTATCGAAAATCCCGGCCCGGCCCGGGTTTCGCTACCCATTTTAGTCACACTCTTTACTGAGTTATTAGAATAATAAACTATGTCCGTAAATTTCATGAAGAAAGAATGAGTATTTATTTCGTGATTATCAAAAACCCAGTTTTCGTTATCGAAAATCCCGGCCCGGCCCGGGTTTCGCTACCCATTTTAGTCACTTTGGGGTAAAAAATTATCTGGAGCTCTGAATATAATAATATTTTATCATATATATATATAACATTTGTATCAGAAAAGGAAAACTTATTCAAAATTGTTTATAATGAAATAATATACCCTGGCGATGGCGAGGATCAAAAAGACTTCAATGACGTAATCCATTTTAGAGTACGATTGTGGCGATGAACGCATGGGTTCCTGTGCTATCAGTATCACGAGTCATAATTCATAATTCTTATTGTTGTCCTTTCAGCTACATCTTGTGAATAACTAAGATGTGCATATAAATGTCAACAAGGAGAACGTCTACTTTATACTTCCATCATACTCCCCGTCGATGCCTCATCTAGTGATCTACTCAAACCAACTCTGGCGGAAGTTGGATACTTCCATTTGATTTCTACTTTCGATTTGGAAAACGGCCGGGTGCGTTCAGTTGTATGTTCGTTTATTCGCCCTATCACAATGATGGGACCGAACAGGCATGGGACAATGAGTTTTTTTTCATCGAAGAAAACAATGGGACAAAAACATTTTGTAGCATTAAGTACTCACAAGGACACAAACTTTTTTTTTTTCAATGAGTTACAGTACTTTAATCAAGAGAGATAAATTCATTTTATTTAAAAATATATACTTTTTTTCGAAAAAGTCATATCCTAAAAATTGAAAGTCAAACGAAGGATTCAAATGGTAACATAAATCTAATACATAAAGTACAAAGTATAAAAATAAACACCCCCCCCCCCCCCCCAAATAAAAAAAAAACTTTATCGATATTTTAAATATCTGTAATCTGAAAGACTATTAATTTTGTTCCAATTATTTCACTATCATCAAAATTTTACCATGGGACAGTTACTTTTTTAAGTCTTAAGGCATGGGACAAGTATTTTTTTCAAATACGAATGGCATGGGACACGTACTTTTTTAAAATGAAAATTTTGTTTTGTACCATCTTCGCTAGCCAAGGGTTTCCGATACGATACCTACTCTACAAGTTGTAGAGTAGGTATCGGATCGGAAACCCTTGGCTAGCGAAGATGGTTTGTAATCCACTAAACGCGCTTCGACCCTTTATAACGTCACTGAGAAATTACGTCGAACGTTTATCCATACGCACATCTATGACCTCTTCACCCCGTACCTGTATTAATACAGTAATAAAAACGCTTGCTTTCATATCAGTGGTGTTATATAAAGGAAAACATTTGCAAAATTAGTGTAAATATTGCGAATTAACGCGAAACTTTCGCGAATAAACACGAAGTTTCGAGATATATCGCGTAACTTTTGCTGTTTTACCAAAACATTTGCACGTCTCAACTTTCCTTTGATTTTGTGCACGTGATCTACTTTATTCATTACAATGAATAGCAAAAGACTGTTTTGATCTTGGACCATCACAAGCTACAATTTTAAGTTTTCTTGCTATTGAATGTGTCTTTCCTCTGTCTTATTATGCGCCCGAATCGATAGATCCGAGGCGTATATTGTTTTTGTCCTGTCTGTCTGTCTGTTTGTTTGTTTGTTTGTTTGTTTGTCTCCACACTTTAACCTTGGCCATAACTTTTGAACCATGAAAGGTAAAAACTTCATATTTGGTATGCATACTTCACTAATTAGGTGCTTTCAAATGACACCAATATTAATGACCTTGTGACCTTGAATGTGACCAATATGCAAAAAATAGCTTTTCTGTCTGCAAACTTTAACCTTCGCCATACTTTTGAACCATGAAAGATAGAGACTTCATATTTGGTATGCATACTTCACTAATCAAGTTCTTTGAAATGACACCAAGGTCAATGACCTGGTGACCTAGACTGTGACCTATATGCTAAAAAACCTTAACTGCTTGTTCGTACCTTTTACCATAACTTTTGAACCATAAAAGATAGAGACTTCATATTTGGTGTGCATAATCCACTCATCTAGTTGACACCAAGGTCAATGACCTTGTGACCTTGACTGTTACCTATGCCTGTGTACTAGCATTTTCGATTTTTGTTGCCGCCGACGCATAGTGTTTCACAAACACAACTTTTTTTTTTTTTTTTTTTTTTTTTTACCGTCGTCTTTTACAACGCTGTTCAAATAACTCAAAGTCTATGCTGTGAGTTTTCCAAAAGTTAAACTTCATGATTATGAATTTCGTGATAAAAATTACCCCTTTTCGGCGTCATTTTTAACGACTCTATAGAGAATTTAAAATAAGCTTATTAAGATCAAGATCTCAGAAAATTAACAAAATGAGGTAAATTTGTCAATTGTGTCCCACCACAAGGATGGAAATTGGATGACCAATGTTCATTTGTCTCCGTTAGACTCACTGTACTGACAGTAGAAATACGTAGAGTTGTATTTTGAGGTTGCACCACGTGGTATGTACCACTGCTTTCAAGAACATTGTTAATATTCAAAGTGTACAAACCCTTTGCTGTATATACCTTGATAGTTTTAATTCATGGCGCTAGTCCACGAACTCTGCAATTACCCATCTTATATATAAATATCGGAGAAAATTTAAGAAAAGTTTACCTCTCCTCCCC